CCTGAAGAGCTGGTTCCTTAGGGCAGAAGACCATTTCACATTTCATCTATGCCTTCTCTACCAGAAAGGGAGAGAGGAGGAATGGGCAGTGTTACTACATTAAGATAACCAATACAAATTGGCGACTTTGCTGTCAAATCCTACTAGAGATGTGGCACATTTTGACTGCTAGAGCTCAATACAGTCAGCACTGCGTCCTCAGATTGCAAAGGGGCAGTCTTAAGGGAAAACAATTGCAGAAACCATCAGAGGTGTGAAGGCTGCACATGGCCAACGCTGGCTTCAGCGCCAACTCAGACCAGGTATATGCCAAGGAGACACTGACAGGCTCATTCCCACCCAGCCCCACTCTCAGACACATTTTCTTGGCAACAAAGCAAGCACATTAGCCTAATAATCACCTTGAGATAGCAATCTCATCTTGATATTCAAAACTTTCAACCCTTTTTGGCAATAACCCCTGCCTACTTGCTGCATTGCCACCCTGCCTGCCATGCTGGTCCACCATACTCGCTGCCGGCGCTGCAGCAGGTCCTTCTGGTCGTTGCTCCATTCCCCTCCCTGACCCCTTTTTGGCAAGTTTTCCATCACCAGCATCTCTTTAGACCTGTAATGTAAAAACAGCTCCGGCTCACACAAGTTTTCATGTTCAGAGGCAGAATCCTCCTCCCTGCCAGGGTGTGTGGCTTCCTCTCCTCCCCTGGCGAGGAGACTGCACATGCTGGGGGGACACCTGGCACCCTCCCAGCTCCTTTTGGGGCCCCAGTCCTCCAGTGTGGGAGCAGCAGCCACCAGATGGCTTCTCCACCCCTCCCTGCACCAGCAGATGGGTGCCTGGGGGACGTGGCACCCCAGCGCAGGCGAGCTGTCTGACAGACATGAGCCCTGCTCCCACTTCATTACGTAAACCCCCAGGTTTTGGTGTTTATCTGCTTTGAGGATCTAGAAAGCACTAAATGCCATTGCAGCAGCCGTGGGCACAAGGAGAGAGGGGTGCATGAAGCACTCAGGGCAGTGGCGGTAGAACGCAATGCCAACCCCAGGAATTAGATACCTCCCACTGTTACTGCATGGAAACAGAACTCCTAATCCTGAAGACACAAATATATACACACACACATATATATATATAATCATGCATATATATGCATATATATAATTCATGACGCAAATCCATGTTTCCCTTCTGTTTGCTGCTGGGGTTTTGCTCCTCCCAGGCAGAGGAGCCAGGATAAGGGTGCATGTCCCCTGCTCCAAGGACCACGCTTGCCTCCTGTCACCCTGGACACCCTGTGCTAAGCAGGTGGGGGAGCAATATGGCAAATATTTCATAAGGAAAAGCTGGCAAACAGAGGGGTTTTCTTCCCCAATCCCTCCACCATCCTCTGCTTTCCAGGGTGTCTGCACATGTGGAGCTGGTATGTACATCTGGTAGATGCTCACAAGTGCATGAAAGTGAGTGGCAGGGCAGGGGCACCTGGCAAGACATCTGTTAACAAATTATATATATATATATAAACAAAAAATTATAATATATATGTATCTACATCCTGCAGCTCAGCAGGGCCGAGGTCTGGCCCTGCACAGGTGGCTGCAAAGGACCCAGACAGTGTACCAGCTATACACACAACCCAGAGCTCAGAGCGCAGAAAAAGCATGGCAACTAGCACCAGGAACAAAAAAAAAAAAAATAAATAAATCATTCCTTCTGGGGGGAAGAAAAAAAAAAGAGAAAAAGTAACAAAGAGCAAAAAAATCTGGCCAGGGTTTTGTGAAGGGAAAGAAAACAGAACCCAATTGCAACTTCTGTCAAACACACGGCCATGACCGAATCTCAGCCCTTGCAGGAGGCTTTCCAGGGTACAGGGCATGTGAGAGCAAGTGAAAAACACATCACTGATTGTCAGAGAGACAATAGGAGGAAAAGGCACGAAGTGTTCCCTCTTGCCCTCCTCCACCTCAGCTAAAACCAGGTGGTTACTGACATCAGACACTCCAGCAACTCAACGCACAGAAGAAAATCAACCTGTTTCCTTAGATCTACCATACTCAGATTTAAGGGCACTGTACAATGCTTGCTCCCACTCAAACCTGGTTGTATTGTTGTTTTTTTAAATGACTTGATACAAAGGAGCTGTTCCAATGTGAAATTAAGGAACCACCTGTTTTCAACAAAGGCAACAGAAGGGTGCTTCTCATAACAGAGGGCACAGCTCAGTTATGCAGTACTCTGGGCTTCAGTCATTCCAGAGACCGTCTCTCCTTTTGTGTGTTCTTTAGGTAGAGATACGGAAGATGAATCTAGAAGCCTGTATGTACACTAATAACTGATATCTTCTGTATGATTTCATTTCAAAGGATTAAAAACTGTGGCAACACCAGCAGTTAAGTGCATTCCCCTGACGCTTCTTTCCCTGAAGATTTGCTAACTTGCTTTAAATCAATTACCAGGAAGGAATTACTGTAAAACCCCAAGTTCAGTTCATAACTACCAGATAGAGGAGGCACAACTGCACTCGCTCACATGGCTTATCAAGGACGAGATTTCTCAAGCCACTGCTGGAGAGCAGACCCACTGTAAAACACAAGATCTTTCCTTTACCACAGACACACCTGCAGTCTAAAGAACACTTCAGAAATTACAGGGATAACAATGCCAACCTGACACAAGCCTTTACACTTTGCTACTATTAAGAATAGTAGTAAAAATTTCTAGGTGAGGCATAGGATTTCAGCCTGCTTCATGGAATAATGATTTCACCAGCAAAGATTACCTACCCAGTGCTTATAACTTCATTTACATGTATGTAAAACACCATCTTCAGCAGTTTAAGCAAGCTGCAGTTCTGATCCCAGCAAACTCTTCCTCAGCTGCGAGAGCTCAGAAGACACCTGCCAGCAGCACCATCATTTGTGGCAGGAGTTCAAGCCTCTCAACGAGCATCACGGTCCCCAGGAGAAACCACTTTAACAATTTTTTCCCCCATAAGACCAGAGCCTCAACACTAACTTTCAATAACCCTAAAAAAGAAGGATGTTCTGTGTATGAACAAAGTGAAATGTGCAAATGGGTACTGAAGTGAGACCCTTCGATCTTCTCTAAGTAGAAAAGTTAAATCAGGAAAAAAAACCAAAACCAGATATACCTCTCAATAAATCTTTGTTTAATCGCCTGAACTATAGGTTACAGGAACCCCTGTGAGGTTTAATAGGTCTTTTCAGAGGGATATCCCTACCCTTAACCCTCTCCCCCAGGAAGCTCTGACAAAGCCTGGGGCTGGCCCCTTGCTGGAGAGGAGAGGAGGGGAGGGCAGGGTAGGGCAGGGCAGGGCAGTGCAGTCCCAGGGCTTGGCCCTCCTACCCAGCTGAACCGTGCATGAAGACGGGCAATGGGGACATGAGGACGATGCAGGCACTGCAGGTCTCCCACATACTGGGCCCTCAGCCCTGGGGGAGGCCAGACACACTTTCCCACCACAAAAAAAAACCAACCACCTGATTTCAGCTGCACTTGAATGCAGGGAAGAGTGGTTACACAATGGAGGAGACGATCTCACCCTAGTGAGATGCCCACCTCAGCTCACTGCCCATCTCCTGAGTAGGGATCAGGGATCCCAGCATCCTTAGGCAGCACTCAGCATCCACAGCAACATCCTGAAGGAAGGGACTTACTGCATATTCACAGTGAATATAGTACAGGCAGCAAGCTGAAAAGGAAGGGTAGCCCAGGGCCCACAGGGCTATAATTAATAATTAAGTGCTTCCCAACTTCTGGCAAAGCTTGGCAAGATTTGTCCACAAGACTCAAGCCACAGAACAAACACTCCTGCGAGCATCTTGAGACGAGGTGGTCAGAAAATATGTTCTCTGGTTACCTGTGAGCCTCTGGCATGAGCTCATGCTATCAAAAGCCAAATGGCATGGCAGGAAAACAGGAATTCTTGAGCGATTAAAGGCACTTGCAATGGAATTCTCACCCTGTGAGCTGTGAACACAGGCAGCTATGAAACACAACAGCATACACAAATGGAGAGCGTATGTCCCAGCAGCCATGGGCACTCCAGCCTTGCCATGACATCCCATTACTTACGGTCTTCCACCAAATGTCAAGCCAGCAGAGCTTCATCCATATAATTAAAATATCAGTGACCCTCAAAAGCCATACAACTCTACTGGCTTCAAAGGCATCATGCAGATTTACTTAAAGGAGGAACACTGGAGATCATGTAGACCTGGACACAATAATACGTATTGTCCTGTGTACAAAGAGCCCAGGTCAGCCCTGACGGTGCAGGCAAAACGCTCCCAAAGTGAAGGGAGCTGGACCAGCTGGAATCATTGCCCAGGCAGATCTGAGGCTGAAGATTTCCAAGGAGCAGCCTCTTAGAAGAGAATTGTGCCAAATAAAGAGAAATAGCAACAGGGAGGAAAGGCTTTCATTGCAAGGAAGGGAGCAGGCAGCTCTTCAGCACAGGTTATGATAGCTAGCTGCTAGCACGCTGGGAATATCTCACGGTTTTCCCGTGTCCCGAAACGGCAGATGCTAAAAGCGAAAAGGCAGAGCCACAGTTTCACCAGCATTTAAGAATACACCAACCAAATGGATCTCCAGGTTCACAACAAATATAAAGCTCCGATGCAGAGCCCCGACGCTAACCCCAGGCTGGCACTCGCCAGCCTCGCCGAATCCAAACCCTCCCATTTCAAAGCATGAAGAACCAGTAAATCATCCCAACAATGTCCTATAGGGCTGACGAACACCTCCCATCGGCAAAGTTTGCCGCCCAGCCGCAGCGAAGAGCCCAAGCGCGGAACTGCTGAGAAATAAGTGCGTTGTAGTGAATGAACCGCCTCTCCGTGCCCCGAACCGCCCCAAGGCCGGGCACAGAGCGGGCCGGGGCAGCCCGGGGAGCTCATCGGCCTCCGCCCGCCCGCCCGCCCGCCGCTGGGAACCGAACCGCCGCAAGAACAGCGGCAGCTCCGGACGTCGCTGTACCAACCTCCTGCCCCCGAGGAACCGGGTACCCCATGGCTGCTGCAGACCCAGCGCGGCGGTCCCCAACGAATCGGCCGCCCCGCAGCCGGAGGAGCCTCCCCGCAGCCCAACTCCGGCCCCTCGGCTCCCGTTCCCGGGCGGGCTCCCTACAGGCGAACTGAGGCGCGACCCAGCCCACCAGGCACTCCAGCCTATGAGCACTGCTAAGGAGGGGGAAACCACACCCCGCAGCGAAGGAGAGTGTTGGGATACTTGCAGGAAGGGTGGAGGGCGGGTAGGATGCTTTCATGGGTTCTGCCCCTTTTTATCGTCGGCACTTCTTCGTAGAGAGATGAAAAATCATAATCAAGAAATAATCCATTAACGCCGAAGAGAAAGTCTGTGGGGTTTGGTTTGTTTGTTTTGGTTTTTTTTTCGTTTTGTTTCAACTTTCTATCCCTGCAGGGACAGGGGCTCAAAGTGATTTCCTCGTGGAAATGCAGCTCTCACGGGGAGCACGGTCTATGCCCTTCTCACTGAAGCCCAGCGACTTCAGCAAGGAGAAATCAGTTTCCCTGCCCGCCACCAAGAATCACACTCAGCGAGGGGAACAAATGAAAAAGTCAGTGCAAATTAATGATGAATTAAGTGCATTTGCAACGTTATTTTTAGCATAAGACAACCTAATAATTACGGTCACATATTGTCTGCATCTGAACAGTGCTTGCCTGCATATGCCATATTTTTCATGTTACTTCCCATACTCCCTTTTTAATATGCAAAGAAGCAGATTTTTTTTGTAGTGAGACAGAGAGGAAATTTTTATGCTTACAGAAGCATTGAACTGACAAGCGGAGAAGCAAAATTCCTCCGTAGACTACACAGCTCTAACACAGTCTTGCATACTGGTGTGCTGGTAAAATGCCTGAAACCTGTCTGCAGTACTACAGCTTCCACCTGCAGCTGTGCAGGGGATGTCTGGGTGACTTTTTCCGGTGAATTCAGTGCTCCCACTTCTGTCCCTACAGCAGGATTTCAATATGGCTTTTATGACATCTTTCTTCCCTATAGGATTTTTTTCCCTTTTTTTTTTCCTTTTTTTTTTTTTTTTTAATAGCAAGAAACAGAAGCATGGTCCTCAAATGTGATAAATAACCCAAATCTGGTCACTGCAAATGCAGAGAGACTCTCCTCCTCTCTATTCTGGCAGTGCAATACTGAAGCATCTCCACATTCTCTACCAGAACAGAACCTGCTTAGTGTATGGGCACACCTACAGCACATTAGTTCAGCTCATTTACACTGGGTTTACTATGACTTGGCTTACAAACAGCCTACTAAAACCAGTGTGAGTGATGTGCTTCACGTGTAAAATCAAGCTCAGAAATCTAAGGTGGTTCCCAACAGCATTGCAATACGGCTTCCTTCAGCTCATGGTGATGAGCTCAAACACTGCTGCACTCAGCAGCTGTAGAGAGCTGAGTCAAGGTGGCTCACCAGTGCTGGCCATACTGAGCAAGGAAAAATCCAGCCAGATACCTGTAATACTCAGTGCCATGACAGAACAAAACAACAGGTGTGGAACTCTGCAGCAAAGAATAGGGGCAATGGGAAATATGGAAAGTCACCCTATATGACACCACCTTTCCACCCCAAAGAGCAGTCAAAGTCATGCTCAAGGACACTTCACCCCACACTGCAGAGAGGTTTCATGATAATGCCAACATATGGCATGGGAATCAGTGGAGGGATGGCACAGGAAGCATCCGTCATCTCTGCTGTTTCCTCCAGCCTCACCATTGCTAACCCCACAGCTGACTCGTGCAGGAAGCCAGTGGGCTGCAGGGGATATCCATTGTCTCCCATCTCTCCACACCTCGCAGCACACACTGGTGCAGAGAGGGAAAATCTCAGATGCAGAGAAGAAAAACTCTCTCCACAGACAATCCCCTGCCCACCTGCCCAGTGCTCATATCAGTGCTTGTCACCTATGGCTGGCCTAATTCTGGCAAATCTTTACAAATCCATAAACCTTAGTTCAGTTTATGCATACTTAATTTCTCTGCTGCTAGGTTGATTGGCAGCTGCTGTGAGCAGGGCTAGACCAGTAGCAGAAGAGAGCAGACGCTCTCCGTGAGCATTTTGGCCTCTCTGTAGCACAGCTCCACTCTCCCAAGGACCATGACAGAGCAGGTTCTCCACTCACAATCTTCACCTCTTCCAGGAGAGCTGCAGCTGTGCTTGTGTTCGATAGTGATTTGCTACAATTCCCATAACCTTCCCTGTCCCAGGGGCAATTAGTAAAGCGGATACTTGGCACATACCTTCAGAAATATCTTGAGCTCTGAAGAAACGGTATTGTCTGTCAGGGGTTTCCTTGGTTCTCTATTCCCACCTGCTTTTCAGTCTTCAGGAACTTCTGCACATCCCTCGGAGGACACACTGCTGCCACAGGGGTGTGAGCTTTTCTTACTTAACAAGAGATGCTAGAGCAAAGAGCCCACTGCATGGCAGTCACACAGGGATCGCTGTTGCTGCAGTCTGTAAAACCAAGGTGCTAATATTAGGAATCTTTTTGCATTATTATTTGGTTGCACTTCATTCATGGTTTTTCTTCTCTTTAAATTTTTCATTGCCATGCCTAATGAGCTGCCCAAAAGTGAGATATATGAGGCATGAAGAGACATCTGCAGAAGGGCTTTTTCAGGAGTAAGCCTATATTGCTGTACACCTAACCCAATCCGCCAGCTGAAAGGTAAACCAGGAAAAGAAAAAGGGTTTGTTTGGGGTTTTTTAAAATAAAGACCTCATCCTCAATCTTGGTCACCTTTTGGCATCACAAAGAGGGGGAAAGGTGGGGAGCATAGGGACAGCAGCTGCTAGACACTAGAGAAATGCCAAACTACAGCCTCAGAGCGGGCAGTAGACAGTATGTGATTGCACAAGGAAGCCATCAACTTCTCCAAGCCTCTCAAACCATTTTCATGCACCCAGAAAGCACTCTTCCCTTTCATTCAACAGCAAAACACAGTTTTGCCCATGGGCTGGAGTGCAGGAGAGCCCTCAGCGGTTTCAGCAGAGCCATAACAGGGATCTGTCCAACATACTGGACATGGATGTCATCTAAGTACAGGGGTTTGCCTACAGGATTTTTCTCACCAGGGTGCTTTTCCCTTGTAAAATGAGCACAACTACACTAGTATAAACTCCAGCACTGTGTTATTTACAGTGTTACAAATAACAGGCTATATCCCCCAGCCCAGTACTGCTGAACTGCTGCACTTCAGTTGACATTGTTCTCAAGCAATCAACACATTATTGTTAGGTGAAGTGTCAGCAAAACCAACCAACCAAACCATTAATTGCTTCAACTGAGCACTTTTATGCTTGTTCCTCATGCCTGCAGACAACACGCAGGACCTTCTTCCTCCTTGTATTTCCCCTTTAGCCGCACAGACACTCCCTGGCCCCAAGCGTGAATGATGCTGATGCTCATGCCTCTGGAAAGCCATGGGGATCAGAGGGAAACTAGGGGGAAAACTGCAGAGTAGTTTATCACTGCACTGGGAAAGAGCCTGCAGAGCCCCAGGGGAGGGATGAAGGAATTGGCTCCATCACATGGCAGTGAGATGATGGCTGGCTTTGGCACTGCATGAGGCCAAGCCCCACCACTGTGCCTCCTGCTCTGGCACCCTGTCCCCAGCCTCTGCTGAAGCCATACTGCTGCAGGGCAAAGGGTCTTCAAGTGATGGTGGGTCTACTGCTCCTCTGCCAGGTTTTCAAGTTGTCATTCACTTGCCCTGTACAACATGACTCTGAAGCTTTTTAGGACAATAGGACTGTGGTACTCTGTATACCTGACTAGGAACTGGAAGTGTGTTTGCTGTAGCTATCTCAGAGCTGTGCCATGAGAAAAGGCCCCATAAGCTACACAGAGGGATGTGGCAAAATAGTGCTTACCTCTCACTGCCAAAGACCGTAACACCCACAGCAGGCAGTGGGGCCCCGTGGATGTGTGCACCAGACACCCCAAGAAAACTCCACGGGCTGATGCCAGGGCAGCCACTGGTGATGCTGCCAAGGATGGAGCAACCCAGAGATGACCTAAAGTGGGTCAATTGGCATTAAACCACATGCATGCACAAAAAAGTGGGTTTCCTTGTTTTGTCCCTTAAGACCAGTATTCAAATACTGCACATTCACGTTTGTAGACATCATATTGCGAAATACTTCTTTCTTCAACGACCACAACTGTCCTCCTAACTTTGGAGGAAGAGGCACAGGAAGTTTTGATGAAATACACTCAAACATGACACCCTCGCTTGGGCTCGGTGCCTCCTGGGAGTTGTAGTCATGTCTGTTCCCACCCAGATTGCTTTTCCCGGTGCAGCGCCACAGCACAGTTAATGCTCCCCAGGACACAGCAGCTGCTGCAGCCCCATCCCAGACCTCCCCACCTGCACTGCACTAACTGAAGACCTCTGGGCTTTAGCTGCTACAAGACGGCGGGGGGAAGGGGGAGGGCTGCTCACAATCCGAACCTTACTGGGTTTGGCCAGAACATCTCAGTTTTCTTTCGCACCCTCCCCCTCTCTCAGAATTCCCATGGAAACAAAAACAAAGCTCTCTCTGTTTGGGTTTGATTGGGTGGGGGTTTTACTTTTCTCGATGGGGTGTGGTGAATTAAATTGGTAAATGAAAAGCTAAAAAAAAAACAAAACAACCCACCCCAAACAACATATGCATGGAATGAAACATGAGACTCCATTTCTAGCTTCATCTTCCCTGCAACAGTGCATCTCTGAGCTCTGTCGCCCCTTAGGAGCATCAGGGGACAGAAACGGGCCTCCGAGATAAAAGAATACATAATTTCTTTTTTTCGAAAACTTGCTTTTTGGCAGGAAACACCCAAACCCAAACCCTCCCACCCATTTCCTCATGGCACATCATTGTGCAGATACCTGTATGCCACCGTGTGGCAGCTGCCCCATGCAGCGCGCTGCTGCAGGGCTCTGTACAGCTTTAAGAAAACAAAAGGGGGAAAAATGAAAGGATCTTTTTGCAGCAATTCACAAAACTTAGAGCAATGCCAAGCACGTCAGTATATGAAGCACAGTACCGGGAGGAAGGAGAGAGTGCAAACCGTCTCCTTATGGTGTTAAGCTAAGACACACGCTGCCTTTCTATTTAAAGCCCTACAGTAACATGAATGCCAGGTT